TTACTGTAATGGTTTGACAGTTTAAAGTATAAAAACTCTACGATTTATAAAAGTGAGTCTTACCTGCTTTAGCTTGAGACAACCACAGACACATTTCCTGGACTGATCAATACAGGAAGTGTGTTTGTGTTGTTAGTAGTTAAACAATAACCAGTCTCACATGTCTCTCGCTCGGCAGGTTTATTACGTTGTAAAAACCGATAAACCATTCTAGTGAGAAGGGGAGAAGGCGTAGAGCTTTTCAGACCTTATGTTAATGATATTCTTGTATCTTAATGATAATGATTTATGAGAAAGAATCTCATACAGACAACAACTGTTAAATAATGAATTGAAGTTAACATACCCCCGGACCTTTTGTTGCCTTTTTTTTCATACTAAAATTGATCCTAATAATAATAAAAAATGTTTACCAGCAGACATTAGTCTATGTTGTAGAGTTGAAAAGGTTAAACGATAAAATAAACATATAAAAGTAAACTAAGTAGCCAATTTACTAGCGAGCTAACCATTGATTTAAATGAGCTAGCAAGCTAATGTTTATAGTTATATTAGTAGTTATGAGATTTGTACATCTCATATTTATGATGATAATAATTATGGGATACTATCTAACTACAAACTATTATCTGATAAACAATCTCATACATAAATATTATTATTATATCAGTAATGATAAAGATAATGTTTGATGTTTACAGCAGCAGCTCCGTCAGCGCTCTCTGTGTACAATAAAGTTTGAGTGAGTGCGTGCAGAGAAACATCATCATCTGCTCAGAGTCTGAAACCACAAAGATAAAATCAGATTATCAGCAGCAGCAAGTGGACGTTACTGCAAACACACATTTCTTCTGCACTCGTAAGGACGTACGTTGATCTCCAGCAACATTAAACAAACTAATTTCTTTACCTTTTAATGGCCGAGGTCACATACAGCGATTTTTAATCATATTACCATCAGAGCAACAGGGGAAAGTGTGAGTGAAACTACACTGTGACATCAAGGAAACACCGATGGTAAAGTGACGTTAATGCAGATAGGTGTGTGACTGACCTATACTCAACACGCAACAACAGGGAAGCTGGGAAACACGGATGGAAGAGTGACATCAGCATGTAACAGTGTGTGTGTGTGTGTTATCTTTATAACAACCATATCCAAACTAAGGACAGTGATGCCCAACAGCTACCAACCACAAAAGAGGGAACATGCTCACACACATCCTTTCTCTCTCTGATTCTCGGAAGGTTTTTGGAAACAAAAAAATTACCATATATGGTCGTACGCACCAGCACACGCTCTGTGAGGTTTGTGTACTTCTTGCAAAATTTCTGCAAAAGTGTCCTCACAAGGATTCAAATGCACACAATCACACAGAGAACAGTCTATCATCAAAACTAAAAAATACATTTTGAAACTTAAAACAGTTTCCTAATATTTACTAGTTCCCTGTAAAAATAGGATTAATTGCCATTTTTGTGAAAATGTAATTTCACATCATCAGCTATATTGTTCCCCTATTTAGCGATTTATGCCAAAAACTCACATTTCTTTATATTTTTATATCAATAATCAATCATTGTGTCTTCGTGTAAAACTACATGTGACGCGTGTAACACCTGTGTTCAGTGTGTGAGGCTTCGGTGCAGAGGACAGGATGAGTTTTAAGGATTTTAAAAGCTATGAAATATCTGATGTTACTCATCAAAAAGAGTCAGATAAGATTTAATGTGTAACTCAATATGAGGAAGGTATTTGTAAAATTGGCTTTTAAACGAACCGTGGACTCACTGTTTCATTCATCCTGTTCTTCATTACAGGACGAAGACAGAAATCACCTGTTAGACTCTGACATTTAAATCAGCAAATGCATTAAAGATCTGGGGGGCAAGTTTTAACTGTGTGGTCATAAATAACTTTTATCTGCACAGATGGAATCATTTCCCTGTGTCTTTACAGGCCTGTGGGCGCGTCTTTTTCCTCTTTGTTAATGTTATCACCTCCCACCAGTGCTGGGAAAAACATCCACTGCCTGGTTTTCAGATACATGTGGTCTGAGCTTGTCGGCCTCAGATATTAAACATCAACAGTTGTGAGCCGCAGTGATGAACACAGTTACATAAAATGTCCTGTTAATTATATATATAAAGAGAACATTAAACTGTTTGTTTCAGGGAAGCTGCTACTGTAAAACCCGATACATTAATTTAACTCAAAGAATTGTTGGAACTGATTACAGTGAAATTTTTAAGTAAAACGGATTCAATTTTGCAAGAATGTTTTTAACTGACAAAATTGAGTTTCTGTTATTTGATTGAGTTGAAATAATGGCACATCACAACGTATCTTAAAGTCTGTGGACAGGAAATTCAGATATTATAACATAGACTGTTAACTATGTAGTACTGTGGAGTTAAACCGTTTGTGTTAAACTGTGGATTTGAGCCGTTTAGACATTATTAGCCGCAGCCTTTGCTAACTAGCTACAGTTTGCCTTCAACATCACACAAGTGGATCTTCTCTGGCTGCAAGAAATTACAGAGCAGCTCGGTCACTTTATCTGAATTTGGGAAGGGTGATGCTCTGAGGAAGAGCCACGTTGATGGAGAGTTGAGGGTCACCGCCAACCATTGAGGCACCCATAGGTCCTGCTCGCCAATGAGTCAGTTGGGTGGGACTTTGATACTGTGGCATCAAGATTGTTTACATCTTTAAATAATGGATTAAAACAAAATTGCTAATGAAGACTTATTTGAACAAACAGCAGCGTGACAAGAAAGACCTAATATGACCGAAACCATCTTTGGGAAACTGGAAGGCTTTATGAGTTATACAGCAGTCGGTCACCAGGGGGCGACGGAGAGGTTCTGGCTTCACTACTGAGGAGCTGTCTCGTCGTCCATCTTTATAAATGTTCAATTCAATTCAATTTTATTTGTATAGCGCCAATTCATAACAGAAGTTATCTCAGGACACTTTTCAAATAGAGCAGGTCTAGACCGAACTCCTTTTAACATTTACAGAGACCCAACAGTACCACCATCAAGACCTTGGAGACAGGGGCAAGGAAAAACTGCCTTTTAAGAGGCTGGTTTCAACTGGTAGACGCTGTTTGATATTTCGCCAGGATTTAAATTTACTTTTTGAGATTGTTGAGACCTGAAATTCCTGATTCCACAGCAGAATTTCTGAAAGATTAAATACGTTTTTAGGCTTTTGTTTTTTAAATAAAGTTGCAGGACTGGAAACTTTAGGAAAGAGGAAGTGAGTTCGGTGATATACTGCTCAATGTTTTGTGCAGGAAACTACAATAATAAAAAGGTTCAGTAATTGGAGAAACTTGTTTACTGTGACTCTTACAGCGACTGATATATTAAAAGCATAATATGTAGAATTCAAATACTTTGTACCAAAATAATAAAACTGATCGATCAACAACATTATGAAATACTCAAAAAACCAAACACACAAACTTATTGGAAATGACAAATCCTTTTAATCATAAAAACACAGATTAGTGATTGATTAGTCTGCCTCACAATACAGAAGATTCCTTCTTAAAGTGGTGGAAATAAACCCCCAAAATAAATGACACATAACAAACAAATAATTATACCAACATTCATCCAAAATATACAGGAACAACTTATAGAAAAATAACTCTATCACAATAACAACAGTGCAATCAAACAGGATGTCTGGGCTTTAACGACGTTTCACAGAACGCTGCCACATCACAGAGGAGAGGGTCTACAGAGTCCTTTATTTCATTTAAATGTGTCCTTGAGGTGTTGAAAGGCCTCTGAGTTTGGCTAATGTGAGTTAAACTGTTGTTGTTTATCACATGAAACTAAAGCTAAAACCAATTTTAACACCTGAGCTGTTTTTGTCTCTCCTGGTTCCCAAAATGGACAAAGAACTGAAGATTAAGTTCAGTGTTTCCTGTGTAAATGCTGACCAGATTAAATATTGTTGTACCTGAGCCGAATTAAACCTCCTTCAGTGCAACTCAGGACTTTTATTTTGAAAATCGTTCTAATAAACAAAGTTAATCCACTGCCACAAAGACACCCTTAAAACATTACTGAAAAAGTGAAACTTAGTTGAACCTTATAGAAGAATAAAGATATATTTTAAACATAGTCCAGACTGTGGTTTTTCAAAATAAAAGCTTGCTGGAGGCTGTTACAACGACACGTATCAGGTTTTCAATATTAATGCGTTTCCTGTCGGTGTAAATTAGGTCAAACCGGATTTCAAAGCGGTTTCAGCCTCGTCTAGACGCCCGAGAGGAAACTGGATCTGAACGACAAAAGAGTTTCACATCCCGCTGAGTTTGTGTGTGAATGCAGCCCGACAGGAAGCTAATTAGCATTGAGATAGTGGGACAGTTCGGAGGCGGAGATCCTCCACAGGTGTAAACAGGTATTCACCCCTCCCTCCCTCCGTGTCCCTGTCTCACTCTCCTCGCTGTCTGCCTCTCGTCCCCTCTGAGGTCGATCATTGGCAGAGAGAGGAAGCTCTGTCTGTCTCCCTCCGTCCTTCCTCAGTTTTTCTGGCACACGTGAAGCCTCGTCTTCGCCACCGCCGCCGCCGACGTCGACTTTGAGGACGACAGCAGCGACGTGTGGGGGGAGGAGTGGCGGGAAGAGGGC